GAGTCTTGAACGATTCCTTACTATGGTATTGGAACACTATTCTCAGGTTTGCCAGGCACAGTTATTTGGTTAATGTGGGCTTCCGGCGACGTGCTCGGTGTTATACTCACCCTCAGATCTTTCTCCTTTAGTGAGGTTTGCAGTCTTTGGCCGCCTAGCCTATACTCCGTCTGCAGTCTTCTTTGCCCTTTCCACTTGTGTGTGTGTGTTGTGTGTGTGTGTGTGTGTGTGTGTGTGTGTGTGTGTGTGTGTGTGTGTGTGAATGTGTGTGTGAATGTGTGTGTTTGTACGCTCGTGTGTGTGTGCTGTGGTTTGTACGCTCATGTGTGTGTGTGTGTGTGTGTGTGTGTGTTACCATTTTGTCCTAGGCACATGTCGATTAGACACTTGTGTGTCTGTGTGTGCATGCACCCTTGTGCGGCCGATTTCCCTTAACCTTTTTTTGTAGGACATTCCCCTTTGCTCTGGAACTAGCCTTGTTGCAAACCTTTGCACTTTCTGTAATTTCTTGACGTGCTGGACTAGGTGTGGGTTTCAAACTGGTGCTGCATACTCCAGTATGGGCCTGACGAACACGGTGTACAGTGTCTTGAATGTGTGCGTGTATGTGTGTGTGTGTGTGTTTGCATGTGTATTTGTGTACTCATATATGTGTGAGTGCTTGTGCTCGTGTGTGTGTGTATGTATACTCGTTTACCAGGAGTTTACCTGGAGAGAGTTCCAGGGGTTAACGCCCCCGCGGCCCGGTCTGTGACCAGGCTGCCTGGTGGATCAGAGCCTGATCAACCAGGCTGTTACTGCTGGCTGCATGCAATCCAACGTACGAGCCACAGTCCGACTGGTCAGGTACCGATTTTAGGTGCTTGTCCAGTGCCTGCTTGAAGACAGCCAGGGGTCTATTGGTAATTCCCCTTATGTATGCTGGGAGGCAGTTGAACAGTCTCGGGCCCCTGACACTTATTGTATTGTCTCTTAACGTGCTAGTGACACCCCTGCTTTTCATTGGGGGGATGTTGCATCGTCTGCCAAGTCTTTTGCTTTCATTGTGAGTGATTTTCGTGTGCAAGTTTGGTACTAGTCCCTCTAGGATTTTCCAGGCGTATATAATCATGTATCTCTTCTGCCTGCGTTCCAGGGAATACAGGTTCAGGAACTTCAAGCGCTCCCAGTAATTGAGGTGTTTTATCTCCATTATGCGCGCCGTGAAGGTTCTCTGTACATTTTCTAGGTCAGCAATTTTGCGAGTGTACTCGCCTATTTGTGTGTGTGTGTGACCCAACAATTTAATATTTGCACCAATAACTCATTGCAGTTGTGACTGGGTGTGGATGTGTGAATTGCTCATTACTCTATAATTTGTTCATAATTGTAGCCATATATAAATGTAAGAAAGTAAATTTACTTACTTACATGATTCATTACCTTTGTAACCTGTGAGTTCATTACCTTTGTAACTTGCTCAGCTATCAAAACTTTGGGGCCCAGTCCCTGGACCCATTATGTACCTCTGTAGTCTTTTGACTACCACTCACAGGATGGGTATGGGGTACATAATAAACATATTAAACTAAAACCAAAGGGGTGTCGAAACATGGAGAGCCAAGATGATGGATGTGGTACTGGAAAACCTCGTGCATCAACATGTTAAAGGCACTTCCAGAGAGAGAGGTGAGGATAATCTAGCAAGACTGGACCTAGCATTCACCTTGAGTGGTTCGGACATCGAGGATATCACGTACAAAAGGCCCCTTGGAGCTAGAGATCATGTGGTTCTGTGCTTTGCTTACATAGTTGAGCTACAAGTGGAGAGGGGTATCAGGAATAGGATGGGAAAACCAAACTACACAAGGGGGGACTTCACAGGCATGAGGAACTTTCCTACAAGATGTTCAGTGGGATAGAGAATTGGCAGGAAAACCAGCAAAAGAAATGATGGACTATGTGACAACAAAATGCAAGGAGGCAGAGGAGAGGTTTGTTCCCAAGGGAAACAGAAACAATGAGAAGACTGAAACGAGTCCTTGGTTCACCCAAAGGTGAAGGGAGGCAAAAACTAAGTGCATTAGAGAATGGAAAAAGTACAGAAGACAAAGGACCCAAAAAATTAAGAGATAGCCGATGAGCCAGAAACAAATATGCATAGATAAGAAGGGAGGCTCAGCGACAATACGAAAATGACATATCATCGAAAGTAAAGTCTGAACTGCAGCTGTTGTATAGCCACATCAGGAGGAAAACAGTCAAGCACCAGGTACAGGCTGAGGAAGGAAGATGGGAGTTCACAAGAAACAACCAAGAGGTATGTGAAGAGCTCAACATGAGGTTTAAAGAAGTCTTCACAGTGGAGACAGGAAGGACTCCACGAATTCAGAATAGGTAGGTACACCAACAAGCACTGAATGAAATACACACAATCGAGGAGGAGAAGCTGCTGTGTGAACTTGATACCTCAAAGGTGGTGGGACCAGACAACATCTCTCCATGGGTCCTTAGAGAGGGAGCAGAGATGCTGTGTGTGCCACTAACAAAAATCTTGAACATATCCATTGAAACTGGGCAACTGCCTGAGGTATGGAAGATGGCAAATATAGTCCCAATTTTTAAGAAAGGAGATAGACACGATGCATTAAACTACAGACCTGTGTCACTGATGTGTATAGTATGCAAAATCATGGAGGTCATCAGGAGGAGAGCGGTGGAGCACCTAGAAAGACAGGCTTATAAACGACAATCAGCACGGCTTCAGGGAAGAAAAAATCCTGTCACAAATCTACTGGAGTTTTATGACAGGGTAACAGAAGTAAGACATGAGAGAGAGGGGTGGATAGACTGCATTTTCTTGGACTGCAAGAAGGCCTTCAACAAAATTCCTCACAAGAGGTTAATGCAAAAGCTAGAGGATCAGGCATGCATAACAGGAAAAGCACTGCAGTAGATCAGAGAATATCTGACAGGGAGGCAACAGTGAGTTGTAGTACATGACAAGGTGTCAAAGTGGGCGCCTGTGAAAAGCAGGGTTCCACAGGGGTCAGTCCTAGAACCTGTGCTGTTTTTGGTATATGTGAATGACATAATGGAAGGGATAGACTTAGAAGTGTCCCTGTTTGCAGATGATGTGAAGTTAATGAGAAGAATTAAATTGGTCAAGGATCAGGCAGGACTACAAAGAGACCTGGACAGGCTACAAGCCTGGTCCAGCAACTGGCTCCTTGAATTTAACCCGCCATATGCAAAGTCATGAAGATCAGGGAAGGGCAAACAAGACCGCAGACAGAGTATGGTCTAGGTGGCCAAAGACTGCAAACCTCACTCATGGAAAAAGATCTTGGGGTGAGTATAATACTGGGCACATCTCCTGAAACACACATCAATCAGATAACTGCTTCAGCATACAGGTGTCTGGCAAACCTGAGAATAGCATTCTGATACCTCAGTAAGAAATCGTTCAAGACTCTGTACACCATATACATCAGGCCCGTATTAGAGTATGCAGCACCAGTTTGGAATCCACACCTGGTCAAGCACATCAAGAAATTAGAGAAAGTGCAAAGGTTTGCAACAAGACTAGTCCCAGAGCTACGAGGATTGTCCTAGGAAGAAAGGTTAAGGGAAATCGGCCTGATGACACTGGAGGACAGGAGGGTCAGGGAGACATGATAACGACATGTGAAATACTGCGAGGAATTGACAAGGTGGACAAAGACAGGATGTTACAGAGATGGGACACAGAAACAAGGGGTCACATTTGGAAATTGAAGACTTCTATCAGTCAGAGGGATGTTAGGAAGCATTTCTTCAGTCATAGAGTTGTCAGAAAGTGGAATAGCCTAGAAAGTGACGCAGTGGAGGCAGGAACCATACATAGCTTTAAGACGAGGCATGACAAAACTCAGGGAGCAGAGAGAGAGAGAAGACCTAGTAGCAATCAGGAAAGAGGCAGGGCCAGGAGCTGAGTCTTGACCCCTGCAACCACAATTGGGTGAGTACAATTAGGTGAGTACACACCCCTATGGGTGTGTACGTACTTTGTCAATGGTCCAAGTCGGACCGAAACGTCGTCGTAAGCTTCTCTCTTTTATGTGCGGGTTATTTGTGTAACCCTCTGGGGTTTCTTCTATTTTCTTACTAGTTCTTGTTCTTGTTTCTCTCCACTTATCTCCATGGGAAAATGGAGCAGAATCTTGCTCCGTAAGCCTTGTGGGTCGCCAGAGGCGATTAAAATGCCGGGAGTGAGGGGCTAGTAACCCCTTCTCCTGTATATACATACAGTGGACCCCCGGTTAACGATATTTTTTCACTCCATAAGTATGTTCAGGTGCCAGTACTGACCGAATTTATTGCCATAAGGAATGTTGTGAAGTAGATTAGTCCATTTCAGACCCCCAAACATACACGTACAAACGCACTCACATAAATACACTTACATAATTGGTCGCATTCGGAGGTAATCGTTATGCGGGGGTCCACTGTATTACTAAATTTAAAAGAGAAACTTTCGTTTTTTTTTGGGGGGGACCCCTGCCTCTGTGGGATATGACCAGTTTGTTGAAAGAAGAAGAATTACAGACAAAATGGAACACAGTAGGCATAACAAAACTCATATTATTCTCAGAGGTTTTGGTGATGGCCTTGTGACTGTTTCAGTATCCTCTGCTATATCTAGTGATGTAATGTTATGTCACTGACACACAGTTTAGCATTAAGTTTGGGATGAACAGCCATATATAAACTATTATACAAAACTCTTTCTTTAAATTTATTAATAGACAGAGCTAATGAAAAGAAAACTTATTAAACAAGCCGGTTCAACATTGATAATTATTGATGCATTTTCACACTGAGAAGAGGGTAGCTATGGAAAAATCATGTTTGTGAAATTTAGTATAGTCGCACACATCTCTCAGCTTTCTGATTTTTGCTTAAGCAACAATAAGTATTAAGAAATTCTCACAGAAAAATCATACAGTACCTGTTCTGACAGTGTTTTCTTTCAAATTCAGATAACTTTTGATGGTAGTATTGCCACTCTGGTAATGTCTGAGGCCTTCCCTAAGAATGCAGGAACATACACTGTAGTGGCCAAAAATTCTGCTGGGGAAGGACAGTGTTCTGCAAATGTTTCAGTAAAGGTTAGTATTTTATATTAAGTAACTGCCATTCATAAGGAATTTGTGGTAAATGACATTTTTTATGTATAGTTCACATTATACTTATTTTTAGACACTTCTATTATATAAAATGTTTCCATTTTAAATGCCATTGCTTGTGTTTTATTTTTTGAATAGTACGTCATAGGTGACAAATGAACAATTTAAGTTTTAGCAGCAAAAAATATATCGGTAGCCTACTCATTTTTAATTAAACTGTTTGTATTCTCTTGAAAATATTACTGTGCTGCATTTGAATTGTCTGAAGTAGTAATTTTTTTTATTCCTCCACTGATTAATTTTTGAACTTATCAGTGTGATACAATCATAAGAGTAAGCATTCTCAACTCATGATAATGATTTTAGTTTTTGAAATAATAAGGAGTTGAAGCATTTGCTGTTACAGTTTGCTGTAGTTGGCTGCATACTCTTCATACACAGGCTAAAGAAATTATTTCAAGGAGGATACCTTCCTGAATGTACATTAATTCTATATAAGCATATTTAAGTTTTAGTACTTGCAGGAAGTATACATACAATATGTGCATAATATACATTTTAATATTATAATATTTTATCAAATCCCTAAACTGTATTTGTAACTGCTTCCAACAGGGCCGCATCCCAACTGAGACGAGTGATTCTGAGGTCACGTCTGACATAGATGTGGAGCCAGTGAAGCCGACAGTGCAGCTTCCTCTCAAGGATACAACTGTTAAGGAGGGCAAAAGTGCCAGGCTTGATTGTGTCATTATTGGACAACCAGAGCCTGAGGTAGGAAGATATTGTAAGGGAGAAAAACCTTTACTGATAGTGATATTGTGTTGGGGTTGTCTTACTACAAAGTATGAGAATGGTATAGTATATAGAAAGCAGATATAGAAAATATTGTTTTTATGTTTAGATATGAGGCAGAGTTTAAGTAATGCAGTATTTCAGATGTAAATTCCAATTCTACTTTGTTTCTAGAAAGGAACTAATGCCATCCTCCGGTCACAAGGGTCATTTTTATCTTTGCCTTTTATTATCGACACTTTCTATGTTTTTTAGATTGCTTGAAGGCTAAATTTGTATTCATAAAAGTTTGAAGCATATAGGAGGTTGGAGGCAGTGATGTCATGTTTGAGGTGGGCAGTGTGTGGTGTGAATATTATGCAGAGAATTTGCAGTCTGGAGAGGAGGAAATGGGTTATGAAAAATATTATTCATAGGACAGAGTAGGAGTTGTTGAGATGGTTTGGACATATATAGAGGTGGAGCAAAACAGAATGACTAGGAATGCATATGAATTTGGGGTAGAGTGAAGAAGGGGTGGGGGTCATTCCAGAAAGGATTGGAGGGAAGGGGTAAATGAGGTTTGTTTTGAGTGCTTAGGCTTGGACATTCAACAGGCTTGTATAAGTGTGTTAGGACTGGAGGCAAGTGGTTTTAGTGAATTAACATGCTGTTGGAGCATGATCAAGGTAACATTTATGAAGGGATTCAGTAAAACTGGTTAGCTGGACTTGAGTTATGGAGGTGGGAAGTACAGGGTCTGAAGGAGGGGTGGGGATGTTGCAGTTTGGAACGTTATCTGAGCTGTGATGTTGGCATGCTTTTGGCAAGCAAAACAGTGATTGAAATAATGATGGTGAAAGTGTTTCTTCTTTTTTGTGTCACTCTACCTTGGTGGAAGATGGTTGATGTGTTACAAAACAAAAAAGATAACCCAAAATGAGGGGTTCCATCTTACTGTGTTTTCTAATTCCACTGACATGGAGAGAGAACCTTATTGAGTAGCAGAACTAGTTTCATCCAGCCTGTGGTTAATGAACTCCACTTCCTTTGCCCTCAGATTCTTTTCTATAAAGTACACTGCTACATATTAACATGCAATTTTTTTCGTGCCGAGCTTATCATTAGATAAGTTTTACATTGTATTTCCTTTGACTTTTATAATTTCCACACCATTTGGTCAACCAGTCACAGAGGTTAAATAGCTATGTTGCTCTGCAAAAATAATTCAGTATACATTTGGGTAAAATATTAAGATTCAGTGGATGGGTATGTCTGTAGATGTGGAGTGGAGGGTCAAGTATGTACAGAAAACAAAAGCTATAAACAACTATGATGAGAAATAGAAATAAATTTTTTTTTTTTTTTTTTTTTTTTTTTTATTATTCGCCGGTATTCTCTAGAAATAAATAAGAAATAGATTTTGAAAATGCAAAATTGTTGTAAATGATCATGCATATATGTTTTGCATTTGGTAAGTTTTTTATTTCGCTTAGTATCTGTAAATCACATAGATGTATAACATAATCCAGTTAGCACAACTGCTACCTGTACTAACATATCCTGTTTTTATTTTTTATAGGTAATATGGTATCATGATGATAAACCTGTCAAGGAATCAAATGACTTCAAGCTGCTGTTCCATGGAGATCGTTGCTCACTCATTATCCAGGAAGCATTTCTTGAAGATGCTGGCATATATAGAGTGGTTGCCATGAATTCAGCTGGTGAAGCATCAACAGCGTGTTTTCTGAATGTTGATCGTAAGTAAATTGTAATGAGAAACTGCAATTTTTATTCTTATTAGAATGAAGTGATGATGTGTTTTGTATAGTTAAAATGAAAAGCATTTAAATAATTGAGCAGGAATTAATGTCGCAATAGTAGATGGTATATGAATACCGAGAAGTTGCTGCTTGTGTTTTTATCACTTACTAAATTAATATCCATGACAGACAGAAATTTTAGACTTATTCATAATAAGCATTTCATATGTCCTCGCAGCAATTCCTGAGCCAACTCCTCCTCCAGCACCTGAACCTCCTGCAGTAGCACCCAGATTCTCTCAGTTACTGGTTGACAACCACGTCACGGAAGGAAATCCCGTCACTTTACGTGCTACAGTCACAGGCCAGCCCAAGCCTACCATTTCCTGGTTCAGGGAGAGCATGCCACTTATTCCTGATAATGAGCTACAGGTAATTGAGCTGTTTTATGCAGTAAAACTTATCAAAGTGTTTATAACAAACATTCTAATTTTATTCCTGGCAATAGAAAAAATTGTTGGAAAAAATCAGACTAGAAATTAATACATACTTCACTACAGTATTACACTCTACATTTATGATGGGAACACTAAACTCGTAGGCACCTTACAGAACCAGAGAAATAGGAAACATTCAGGTTCAATCCAAGGAAAGAGAGAATAGGTTCATTTCCTTAGATAAAGAGCCCCTCACCAGCATGAAGCCTTCCTTGAGGAAATAAATATAGGGAAAATTAGTTATAATTACATTAAAAGCTGAGAAAGCTCTAGTAGGTGAAATATGGGAGTTGTCATAGTTGCTTTTTGCCACTGATACTTTGCTTTTGGGATATTCTGATGAGAAGTTGCAAAGGCTGGTGGATGAATTTGGGAGGGGTTATTGAGGTGGTTTTGTGTGCAAGGGGGTTGGACATACAGAAGGCATATGTGAGCATGTTAGATAGGAGTGAATGGAGATGAATGGTTTTTGGGACCTGACGAGCTGTTGGAGTGTGAGCAGGGTAATATTTTGTGAAGGGATTCAGGGAAACCTGTTAGCTGGATTCGAGAACTGGAAATGGGAAGTACAATGCCTGCACTTTAAAGGAAGGGTTTGGGATGTTGGCAGTTTGGAGGGACATCTAAAGTGTCGTATCTGAACACCTCTGCAAAGACAGTGATTACGTATGAGTGATGGTGAAAGTATTGAGTGATGATGAAAGTTTTTTCTTTCTTTTTGGATTTTTCTTTCTTTTTGGGTCACCCTGCCTTGGTGGGAAGCAGCTGACATGTTTAAAAACATAAAATAAAGACAGTAGTATACCAGGAGCATTATGCCTTCTTTGGTCCAGTCTGTGGATGCTGCTGTGAGTTAGAACTTGTTGTAGTACATGTATACTATCCAGTCCTTTGCCATTTACCAGAAGGCATCAGTAGACCACCCCACACACCACCTCCCCCACTGCATTACCCCACATGCCACCTCCCCACAGCACCACCCTATACACCACCTCCCCTACTACATCACCCTACAAACCACCCCCCTCACTGTTGCTTTTGTCCCAGTCTCTTCGATGGTATTTTTCAGTTCTCAGAGTTCATTTCTTCTTGGTAGGTGTGGTGACCTTGAATGTTTAAGGCTGGTTTATTAATTCATGCTTCAATCATACGGCTGTGTTAGTGGGTTGATTTGGTCCCAGGTGTTGGCCACCCTGTTTCCTGTGGGATGGTACCCTTCTCATATACGACAGAAATCATGAATCTGTCTCTCACAAGTAGAACTTGAGCTTCTCTTACTATAAGGCGATTCTATTCCTGCTGAACATCTTGAGGAGGTAGTAATGTATATCTCAGTATGATCACTTATCACTGATACTGTAGTGTAAGTTATCCTCCACACATGTACTTTCTGACAGTTCTCTCGTTGGCATCAGCGAACAGTCAGAAATATTCATTTGAGGCCACACAGTGAGCCATGAGGTGCTGCAGTACTGGCACCTTCTCAGCAAGGTGATAAACATTTTCAAATGCCAGTTTGGTTCATCCAGCTTCATCTATTGAAATTTCTAATACTGCACTATATGTATCAGCAATTCTTGTATGTGTGGTAGAGTACTTTGGACACCATGTCCAGTGGTTCAGGCATGTGGTGGGTCTTTCTTTCACAACTAGTGCCTGCTGCTGTACAATGATGGATGGCAATTAGTCTCTTTAAGTCTTCCTGTGACACTACACTTGCCAAATAATATCCTTTTGTTGATGGAAGATTGCCTGTTGAAACTGCAGTTATTATGGAAAGGTTTGGGCAGGGCATAGGCCCACCTCTCCTGCATCCCTGATAACTAATGTCTTACCATTTTCCATTTCCCTACTTTTAACCCTGGCTGCATCTGTTATGTGTTTGGCAAGAATCTGTACACTTGTAATCCTCCTATTTGTGCCATGTGTGGAGGGTATAGCTACAGCTCGAAATTTAAGCTTATGTGTTATTAGAGAGATGTGCTATCTTTGAATGCAGTCTTCTGCCTCAGGCTTGGCAGCACCCACCTGCTTAATTCGTGTACAATATGTCTTATATTATGCTTGTGCAAAAGCAAAATGAATGTAATGTACTGCTTATTAACAGTGCTAATGAGAGCATATCAATTCAGATTTGCAGGTTTGTTTAATAACAGACTAGTGCTAGGTCTATGGTGTGCATGAGTGAAAATTGTTAACTAGGTGTGGGAGTATGAAAGTTAAAAAGGTTGTATATATGTCCCAGTGATTTCTTGGTTCATGTATACCAAAACAAAACAAGAGACCTCTATGTATTTGTGTTTATGTAGGTTGGTAGACAGCAACCACCCAGGGAAGTGCTACCGTCCTGCCAGATGACTGTGAAACAAAAACCTGTAACTGTTTTGCATGATGGTAGGATTGCTGGTTTTCTTTTTCTGTCTCATAAACACGCTAAGATAACAGGGATATCTTGCTACTCCTACTTACACTTTGGTCACACTTCACAGACACGCACATGCATATATATATATACATACATCTAGGTTTTTCTCCTTATTCTAAATAGCTCTTGTTCTTTTTTTATTTCTTCTATTGTCCATGGGGAAGTGGAAAAGAATCTTTCCTCCGTAAGCCATGTGTGTCGTATGAGGCGACTAAAATGCCGGGAGCAATGGGCTAGTAACCCCTTCTCCTGTATACAATTACTAAAAATGAGAAGAAGAAAAACTTTATAAAACTGGGTTGCTTAAATGTGCGTGGATGTAGTGCGGATGACAAGAAACAGATGATTGCTGATGTTATGAATGAAAGAGTTGGATGTCCTGGCCCTAAGCGAAACAAAGCTGAAGGGGGTAGGAGAGTTTCAGTGGGGGGAAATAAATGGGATTAAATCTGGAGTATCTGAGAGAGTTAGAGCAAAGGAAGGGGTAGCAGTAATGTTAAATGATCAGTTATGGAAGGAGAAAAGAGAATATGAATGTGTAAATTCAAGAATTATGTGGATTAAAGTAAAGGTTGGATGCGAGAAGTGGGTCATAATAAGCGTGTATGCACCTGGAGAAGAGAGGAATGCAGAGGAGAGAGAGAGATTTTGGGAGATGTTAAGTGAATGTATAGGAGCCTTTGAACCAAGTGAGAGAGTAATTGTGGTAGGGGACTTGAATGCTAAAGTAGGAGAAACTTTTAGAGAGGGTGTGGTAGGTAAGTTTGGGGTGCCAGGTGTAAATGATAATGGGAGCCCTTGATTGAACTTTGTATAGAAAGGGGTTTAGTTATAGGTAATACATATTTTAAGAAAAAGAGGATAAATAAGTATACACGATATGATGTAGGGCGAAATGACAGTAGTTTGTTGGATTATGTATTGGTAGATAAAAGACTGTTGAGTAGACTTCAGGATGTACATGTTTATAGAGGGGCCACAGATATATCAGATCACTTTCTAGTTGTAGCTACACTGAGAGTAAAAGGTAGATGGGATACAAGGAGAATAGAAGCATCAGGGAAGAGAGAGGTGAAGGTTTATAAACTAAAAGAGGAGGCAGTTAGGGTAAGATATAAACAGCTATTGGAGGATAGATGGGCTAATGAGAGCATAGGCAATGGGGTCGAAGAGGTATGGGGTAGGTTTAAAAATGTAGTGTTAGAGTGTTCAGCAGAAGTTTGTGGTTACAGGAAAGTGGGTGCAGGAGGGAAGAGGAGCGATTGGTGGAATGATGATGTAAAAGAGAGTAGTAAGGGAGAAAAAGTTAGCATATGAGAAGTTTTTACAAAGTAGAAGTGATGCAAGGAGGGAAGAGTATATGGAGAAAAAGAGAGAAGTTAAGAGAGTGGTGAAGCAATGTAAAAAGAGAGCAAATGAGAGAGTGGGTGAGATGTTATCAACAAAATTTTGTTGAAAATAAGAAAAAGTTTTGGAGTGAGATTAACAAGTTAAGAAAGCCTAGAGAACAAATGGATTTGTCAGTTAAAAATAGGAGAGGAGAGTTATTAAATGGAGAGTTAGAGGTATTGGGAAGATGGAGGGAATATTTTGAGGAATTGTTAAATGTTGATGAAGATAGGGAAGCTGTGATTTCGTGTATAGGGCAAGGAGGAATAACATCTTGTAGGAGTGAGGAAGAGCCAGTTGTGAGTGTGGGGGAAGTTCGTGAGGCAGTAGGTAAAATGAAAGGGGGTAAGGCAGCCGGGATTGATGGGATAAAGATAGAAATGTTAAAAGCAGGTGGGGATATAGTTTTGGAGTGGTTGGTGCAATTATTTAATAAATGTATGGAAGAGGGTAAGGTACCCAGGGATTGGCAGAGAGCATGCATAGTTCCTTTGTATAAAGGCAAAGGGGACAAAAGAGAGTGCAAAAATTATAGGGGGATAAGTCTGTTGAGTGTACCTGGTAAAGTGTATGGTAGTTATAATTGAAAGAATTAAGAGTAAGACGGAGGATAGGATAGCAGATGAACAAGGAGGCTTTAGGAAAGGTAGGGGGTGTGTGGACCAGGTGTTTACAGTGAAACATATAAGTGAACAGTATTTAGATAAGGCTAAAGAGGTCTTTGTGGCATTTATGGATTTGGAAAAGGCGTATGACAGGGTGGATAGGGGGGCAATGTGGCAGATGTTGCAAGTGTATGGTGTAGGAGGTAGGTTACTGAAAGCAGTGAAGAGTTTTTACGAGGATAGTGAGGCTCAAGTTAGAGTATGTAGGAAAGAGGGAAATTATTTCCCAGTAAAAGTAGGCCTTAGACAAGGATGTGTGATGTCACCGTGGTTGTTTATATATTTATAGATGGGGTTGTAAGAGAAGTAAATGCGAGGGTCTTGGCAAGAGGCGTGGAGTTAAAAGATAAAGAATCACACACAAAGTGGGAGTTGTCACAGCTGCTCTTTGCTGATGACACTGTGCTCTTGGGAGATTCTGAAGAGAAGTTGCAGAGATTGGTGGATGAATTTGGTAGGGTGTGCAAAAGAAGAAAATTAAAGGTGAATACAGGAAAGAGTAAGGTTATGAGGATAACAAAAAGATTAGGTGATGAAAGATTGAATATCAGATTGGAGGGAGAGAGTATGGAGGAGGTGAACGTATTCAGATATTTGGGAGTGGACGTGTCAGCGGATGGGTCTATGAAAGATGAGGTGAATCATAGAATTGATGAGGGAAAAAGAGTGAGTGGTGCACTTAGGAGTCTGTGGAGACAAAGAACTTTGTCCTTGGAGGCAAAGAGGGGAATGTATGAGAGTATAGTTTTACCAACGCTCTTATATGGGTGTGAAGCGTGGGTGATGAATGTTGCAGCGAGGAGAAGGCTGGAGGCAGTGGAGATGTCGTGTCTGAGGGCAATGTGTGGTGTGAATATAATGCAGAGAATTCGTAGTTTGGAAGTTAGGAGGAGGTGCGGGATTACCAAAACTGTTGTCCAGAGGGCTGAGGAAGGGTTGTTGAGGTGGTTCGGACATGTAGAGAGAATGGAGCGAAACAGAATGACTTCAAGAGTGTATCAGTCTGTAGTGGAAGGAAGGCGGGGTAGGGGTCGGCCTAGGAAGGGTTGGAGGGAGGGGGTAAAGGAGGTTTTGTGTGCGAGGGGCTTGGACTTCCAGCAGGCATGCTGTGAGCGTGTTTGATAGGAGTGAATGGAGACAAATGGTTTTTAATACTTGACGTGCTGTTGGAGTGTGAGCAAAGTAACATTTATGAAGGGATTCAGGGAAACCGGCAGGCCGGACTTGAGTCCTGGAGATGGGAAGTACAGTGCCTGCACTCTGAAGGAGGGGTGTTAATGTTGCAGTTTAAAAACTGTAGTGTAAAGCACCCTTCTGGCAAGACAGTGATGGAGTGAATGATGGTGAAAGTTTTTCTTTTTCGGGCCACCCTGCCTTGGTGGGAATCGGCCAGTGTGATAATAAAAAAAAAAATAATAGTATTTACCTAGCTGTGCTTGTGTGTGTGCATGTCTGTGTTAGTTTTTTCCTCATCTGTTTTTAACAAGGACATTGGCTTACTGTTGTATTGATTGGAGACTTAGGACCCACATTAATCCTTGTATAATGTAAATGATATTGTAAACTATATTAATAAATGACTGTAAATTAGGTTAATGCAGTATTCTTATTAAGTTCTTGATGCTGAGTATACTATAAATATTAAAATTAGACATTAGTTTGTCCTAATATGTGTGTTACCTCTTCCTTCCAGATTCATGAAAGCTCTGATGGTAGTGTGAGTGCAACAATCCATGCTGCAACACTTGATCATACTGGTCAGTATGAAATTGTAGCCTCAAACACTGCAGGAACAGCCAAGTGTGTAGCATACCTCAGCATTGAGCCTCGACTGCCAACACCCCCACCTACCGAACACACCGAACCCCCAGTTTTTACCAAGCTTATTACTGACACCACAGTCTTATCTGGAGGCAGTGTTAAGTTTGAAGCTGAGGTTCAGGGGCTGCCTATGCCCACGGTGAGTGACAGTAGTTCTTGCTTAAAGACAGTTTCTCATGTTATTGATAATTCAGATATTTCTGTTATAGGCAGCGGTAACACTGAAGAGGCCAGGAATCTGAATTATATTTGCATTGAAAAGTATTCAATTGATGTTGATGTACAAAATGGTGATGCTCAAGATCTTGGTGATGCTGACTTGGGAATTGACGCAGGTGCTAATAGTAGCATGAATGTTTTGGGGAAAGATCAGTTTGCTGATATGATGTTAAAATTCAGTCAGTTGGGTTGTTTTCCTCTTTCTAATGATTATCACAATGAACAAAAGAATAATAAAACAATTCAAGAAGAGGAGAAAGATGCATGTAATAAACATGAAAGCATTAGTAAATTATCAAAATTTCATGACATGAAAATATTAGATTTTGACACATATTCCCGTTTCATGATGGAAAACATTGTTGTTTATGGTTCTCTTGATGACACTGGAGAACCAGGATCTGCACCAGAGATAGATCAATTTTGTAAGTTCAATGACATTGAAGTTATGCCTGCAGAAGATTACTCTAATCTGATTGTATCTGACTGTGAGTCATCAAATAGCTCAATAGAAAGCATTGCAGCTGATGAAAGAGATAAGCGTAGTGATACATTGTCCCCACCGCTTGAATCTGGCATTTATAAAACCTCTTGCTTCCTTGATACTGGAATTAGTGAATCCCTAGAACCAGTGAAACTTGCTGATTTGTGGGATCTAATTAAGGATAGAATACCTAATTCAGATGTGGATAACGAGAATCAAGATAAAGTGAATAAGAGAGATTTATCCTGGGAAAATGATACTGACAGTAATAAAAAATCTTCATCTCTAAGTTCTGATTTAGAGCCTGAATCAGGATATTTCTCAGGGACATTCTCTTCACATACTGTTAGTTCAGAATCTTCTTTTGGATCTCCAAGGTCTGGTAGATCTAAGAGAAATAGTTACACTTTTTCTTCCGAAGAAGAACCTTCAAGAATAAGCAGCCCAAGTGAAGATAAATTGATGGTTTATTCTGCTGTCTCTGGAAAGAATGTTGATGATAATTGTACAGTATTGTGTAATTTTTCAAGTGAAAGCCCTTCTTTATCTAATATTTCTAGGCATGGTTTAGATATTCCCTCAAGTGTGTCATCAAAGAATATGAATGAAAATGGAAATTTTTTGGATTCATGCTTAACTGCAAGTGTAAAAGTTTGTGATGAATCTACAAAGACATGTGACAAAGAATGTAAATCCATCATTGATGAGGCTCAAACTGAGAATGATTTTAGGAATGATCCTAGTAATCATGCACTTTTAATAAATAGTGAAAAAAGTGAAGATGCTTTCACTTCAAGCAATGACTTATCCTTAGATATTTCTAATATTCATATGTCATCTGGAACCACTATGACAGAACCAGAAGATGATGAAGAAATTCCTCTGTACAAGTTACCTAAGAAGTGTGCAGCAGAGAGAGAGCACATATGTGGTAATATAGAAATTGCTGTAAATCGATATCTTACTCCATCTCCTGAGTATATTTCTGAATACCTAAGATGCCCTAGTAGTTTGTCTGTAATATCAGAGGAAAGTTATGTTTCAGATTATGAAGATATTTCTAAAGGTAGTAATGACTCAAATAATAATGATGACTTTCCAGTGAAATCTCTTCAGTTTGATATTTCAAGGTCTGAATTTGATGTGCAAAGGGAAAATCTCTGTGTTGTCTCTGAAAATTCCCATATTAAAGATGAATTATCATTAATCACTGGTGACTCAGACAAGCATGAGATTGAGAGACGAGCAAGACGAGCTGCTCGTTTAACAAAGCTTCGAGAATTAACAAAGATATTACAAACTCCTTCGAAAATATCCAAAACTTATCCTGGGACAGCAGCCCACTCTGATTTTAATCCTCAGAATGAACCATTTAATTTACATACCTGTCCATCTGTTGAAAAGTTAGAAAGTGCCGAACAACTGATAGTCGATTTTGGGGATAAACAGTTGAACAGAGAAGCCACTGATCTACAGTCAGTGGAATCTGGCAGTCTTAAAGAGCCAAGCAAAGCCTTTTTATTTATAATTAAGACAGTTGAACGACTCTCTCAACTGGAAATAAAAAAGATGATCATGGAAAGACTTAGGGCATTAATTGAAGCAGGACAGTCATTTATCAGAGCCTATGTATTCCCATTTTCTCATGCTACTTTTATCGATCTTACTAATCCATCTCTGATGTATCAGTCACTTAATCCCTTAACCTCAGAGACTGCCCACAGTATGGTGTTTGAGACATGTCTTCATGCAGCAAGAGGCCAGGGAGCCATCCTAGATGGAGAGTGTATAGATCGAGATGCAGCAGATATAATTCAGGCAGGCTATTATCTTATTTATATTTTGTATTATAAAGACAGTGATGAAACATCTAAGGATACATAATTGGAATTCTTGTAATCTATTCATTTTTGTGATCTGTTGATGATGCATTATTAAGTTCTTTAATAACATTATAATTAATCTAGAAATTAATTTGTGCATTGGTTATAGAATATAACATGAGAGAAAAATACCATGTGTTGTGAGGCAGTGAGGTTTTATAGCTAAAAAATGTAAGTAGAGTTTGATCTATTGGATGGACAATTGAGAGTTGAATGAAATGAGCTTCTAAAGCTGGAGTTTGTAGTGACCTGCCACACTTTGTGCCTAAAGATGTAATGTACTGTACCACATTTCCTTCAGAAATTTTGAGGAATTTTCATATATAGGAGTTGGTAAAGAATGTACAGCGGAACCCCGGTTTTCATCCTTAATCCGTTTTAGAAGGTTTGTTGAAATCCTAAATGGACGAAAACCGAAGTATGTAATATGTCCCATAAGAAATAATGTAAATCCAGTTAATCTGTTCCAGACACCCAAAAATACATTTTATAGAAAATAACTATAGTTTTACATACAGAAAACAATGAAAAATAAATATAAATGATTAATTTTAATAGATAAATGAACATTTGAATCACTATTACATACCTTTATTGAAGAGACTTGTTGGTCTATGGAAGAAGGTGAGGAGGGGAGAGGGAGGAGAGGTTATCTCTACCATCATCACTACCACCGTCTACCACCATTGAATTCTATTGTGTTTCTCGCCTTCTTTGTCAAAGGGCTGGCACTCCGAACTTTCTTTGGCCCCATGGTGGCTTATTTAGTAGTCACACTCAATAAACAAACACAAAAAACAATCGATTATTATGGAATGTTTCGGATGAATGCGCAGAGTATTGCTCACTGACCAAGTGACAGGCAGACTGAGTCATATATGTGTGAGCGGCTGCGTCCTGGGCGTGCGAACGCTTCTGATACGGACGATTTCTGAGCAGAGGTTCGAAATCCAGGGTAAACCATTGCCCCAAAAAAGTGGCCGCAATCTGAATTGTACAATATCCGCACCGGACAAAATCCGGGGTTCCACTGTATAAGTATATATTGAATTTACATTTATTTAGAAGTGTTTATGGTTGATATAATTGAGAAGGATTGTGATAATTTTTAAATAGATATTATATAAAGGAAAGTTGTGTATTTAATTAGCATACTGGTGTAAGGTTTGTGTTTGGATATTGTTAGCTTACAAATGAGTCTTGTAATTATGATCATGGAAGCATCCAGATACTTTGAGACTAGCAAACAAATTTGAATAATATTTAAGACTATATCATTGACTGATGGCAGAAAAAATTGTATGTAATGAAAGGTATTCTAGTTAACAAAATTTCAAAACCAATACAGAAAATTGAGGATACGTACATATTATAAGGTGTTGTATAGCTTATTGTATGTAGTACTGCATATTATTATTTTTCACTGATGTAACATGATATTTCATTAGGAAAACAGGTTGATAAGAGTTTAAAATAGTTTGTAAATGAATGATGAGTTAACAAACATGTAGAATAATAAGGAATTTAGTGGAAGGCAGTCTAATGTGTATGAATTGGATGATAATGTGGCTTACTGAAAATGTTTACTGTATAGTATAACGTGTTGTTGGAGTGTGAACAAGGGAACATTTATCAAGGGATTCAGGAAAATTGATTAGCTGGACTTGAGTCCTGGAGGTCGGGAGTACAGTGCCTACACTCTAAAGGATGGAAGAGGATGTTTCAGTTTGGAGGGTCATCTGAATTGTGATGTAAGCACATGTCTTGCAAGGAAGCAACTGAATGAATGACAGTGAATGTGTTTCCTCACTTTTTTGTGCCACTCTGCCTCAGTGGGAGATGACCAGTGTGTTAATAACAAACTGTATAGGAAAATTTAGTTATTTTTAGTCTACAGTAACTATATTTTGAATGTTCAATTTTGTAGTATATTAATTCAAGAATATAATGTAGTTGAATAATTTAATGTACAAGTGATTCACCTACTGATACTGTATATATACAATGGATTATTTTATACATTAGGTTGAATCTTCGAGAAATTAAAATCTGTTTGGTTGTGTATTTAACAAAGTACCCAAATGATTTAAATAAAAAATCCTCTGCCTAGTAAGTAAACATAAAGAAGGATAACTGCTAAAGTAATAAAGCCAACAGAGTTACATCACTGTACATAAGATAAAGATTGTAAAGGGCAGTATTAAGGAATAGCTTTGCTTTTTTGTGCATCATAATTGAGACACTGATTTGGATTCAAACTATGTCTATTATGCCAATCAAGTGAATAGAAGTAGATATTTATGTGCAAGAGATGTGTCCTTTAAGCTAATAAAATCTGCACCTATTCCTTAATTTTATTTCATGGCCATCTTTTAATATTGATTTATATTTAACACCACTAGAAGATAGTTTAAACATTCAATATATATTCAGTATCAATATTAACTAAAGTTTCAATGCACAATACATATATAAAAATTTTACCATTGGTATTGCTATTTAACATAACTTTCAGCAACTTCTAAACAGCTTAAACAAATGCAGTATCTTGAAAATTCCAGAGTTTCTCTGAAACTCACTAAATGTTTTTACCTGGCTACTGGCAAACCCGCCCTTAAGTTTGTGTGAAAGGCTTTACTGTATAAGAAAGGCATAGCATATAAGCTGCAACAGGGCTTTAGTTAGTGTAATCAAGCTTTACAAAACTGATCTATTTTATTGCTTAAATAATGTAATTAATATATTTTGTCAGCAACATTTGTACAAGAAATACTGCCTCACTCCAATCCTTTAATGGAGCAGAAAAATATTGTATATATGCTGCAATATCCCACCAGTCTTGTATTCAGAATTCAAATTCAAAATTCATATACTTTATTTTTTTTATGCAGTGTGCAGATAATGTAGCTTACATGTAATAAAACACTGTTATCTTAATAATGGCTGAAATGGGTAAACATTATTAGAGGCTGTAATCTTTAAATAATTTTAATGAATGATCCTCACCTGAACTTACATGTAAAGTTTCAAAGTTGTAAGTAAATATAGATCTCCTATAGTTAATTTATAGTTTTGTGATAGCCAGCCCAAATATACATTACATATAATACTTTTATTTCTTTGAGTAAACTTTCCTAGGCTTTAGATGTTTCTTTAAAGTCATTATGTTTATAATTTTCATGTGATGCAGCAATGAGTGTTGTCTAAATTTGTTCTTGTTATGGGCAAGTGACCAGTTGTAATTTAGGCCCTATTCCCCTTCTAGTGGAAAATATTCTGAATATTATTCATATAAGCTGGCCTTGTACTGTACTTGCAGTTTGCATAATAGTATATCTTTTTGGATAAAAATATGTGAAACTAAAATGCAGTATAATTATTATTCTGGCTAATTTTTTTTTTCCATTCATAGAGAACACAGTTAAAAGACTTGTTATATAATGGCTGTAATCATATTGATTTGTTCATACTCGCTGCCATATTTACCTGTTACTCTATAAATGAAGAGACTTTACGATATTTTACATTGGCATATCTACAGCAGCAGCTGATGAACACTAGAAAAATACCATTTATTAGTATCATAATTTATATTTTTTAGGGTTCCCTCAGATTGTGAAATGGGAATTTGAAAAGATTAAATTTATTTTTCTTTTCAACACGTCGGCCATCTCCCACCGAGGCAGTGAAATATATACAGTTCAGTATTTTATTGGTAACAATAACCTATTAGTTTTCTTTAAACCAAAATAAATGCTGGGCTCTTCTTCCATGGATTGTATGTGGAAGACTAATTAAATTTTATCCACATAATCTTCCCTAGCACCTAAAAGGGACCTAGCTTGGGGTAGAGAAGTTATGAAATAATATTAAAGAAAATATAAACGACAAAGAGAACTATGATAGTACTGTAATGTTAGGAAGGACACTTTTTTATGTAATATCAAGAAGCTGTTCATGTATATTTTCAGTAGTAATATTTGCTTACAGCCAAATTGTTACACTGAATATATATTGGTGGTTCTGTAACTGTGAAGTACTAGTTAGTTTTGTGTGCATGGCTTTATGCAGATGGGAATACAGGTAAGGATGATAAAAATGTAGTAATTCATAACAAGTATTTTTAATTAGCAAACTTAAAATTTAGATACATAGAGGAAGAGATGTGGGGAACTGTTTAGAAAATAGATGGTTCAGTTTTACTGGCGTGACTAATAATATTGGATTTCTAAAAGATATTGTTTAGCATACCAGAAATATTGTATGTCTGGAGTTGTTTTTGCAGGGCTGATAATGTATGGGAGAGCAGAATAGTCTTAAGATATTAGAGGTTATGGAAGTGACAGTTATTTAAGAACAATTTTTTTTTTTCAAATATTCTATGACAGTACTATGACAAGAATTATATAAATTTGAAAACATACGCTGTTACTTTGTGTATGTATTCTACAAGAAATAAAATCCTGCTAGTTAGTATGCCTAGTAAAAGGTACAAAGTGACTGATCACTGAATGAAAAACTAGCAGTTTTATTGTATGTATGTATGTATATATGTATATACATACATATTCCTCGCTTAAGCATACATTTGAATACTCTACAGTAAATGCATATAATTACTGCCATAAAAGAAAGTGTTGATATATAGATTCCTAAGTGTTTTACAGTTTTAACTTGCAAGCTAGTTTGACCTTATGGTTTTAGTTATTTTATAAACATCTTTACATATGTGAGTAAGCATTTTATGCACATTTGTTAGCAAAGCTAACAAATGTGCAATAACAGAAAATGTATATTGTAGGCAGTGTACAAAAACTCGTATAGATTGTTATTTACTTCTACCGTAAGACGTCTTTGTAAAAATTATAATACATAATTATGATGTATTATATTACAGTAATCAGTGAGATACGAGTTTTGTTTTATAGTAATAATCTTGATCATTATCCCGTTCATGTTTTCAGAGGCGTTCTTGATCTTCCTTAGGTACACTGGACACTGAATGATTGCCCTATCACTGGTCAAGAATACCTGCGCGGTCATTTGCAGTATGTGTTGGGAAGCAGTGGGAATATGCATTCCTTGGAGCTGCCCACAACTTCTGTGATGCAGGCTGGTAGAGTTGCTGTTATTGCAGAAAACTCTGTAGGGAAGGCTGTGTCTGCTGCCACACTCAACATTGTTGGTAAGTACCCCAGTACAGCAGTGGCATTCTTGGTAAGTCTTTGTTTAGAGCAGCTTCTTGTCACAAGGAAATTTGTTGTTTTTGCATTGAATATACAGTGGACCCCCGCTTTACGATCACCTCCCAATGTGACCAATTATGTAAGTGCATTTGTACGTGTATGTTTGGGGGTCTGAAATGGACTAATCTAATTCACAATATTCCTTATGGGAACAAATTCGTTCAGTACTGGCACCTGAACATACTTCTGGAATGAAATAATATCGTAAACCGGGGGTCCACTCTATTGTCTTTACAAAAACCTACACTTTAGAGGGGAAACTTTAGAGGACATTTTGATCTATCCTGGACTACCAATCTATCTTGGTCTTGAAAATAGTCTGGGACAAATCTCAATGTCATTAGAAGTTATGTGTCTAAAGTGTGGATCATTGGTGCATTGTTCCAGACATGTGACTTTTATTCATCAGTATGTAAGAAAGTGTAACTGAAGAAAATTTATTATGAGCAACACAATACATACTGTAATATGTACTGTGTATTGGAAAATGTAATATGTAATATATTTTTGAAACATTTAAAAATTTTAAACATTTTTTTTTTTTTTTTTCAACAAGTCGGCTGTCTCCCACCGAGGCAGGGTGACCCAAAAAAGAAAGAAAATCCCCAAAAAGAAAATACTTTCATCATCATTCAACACTTTCACCACACTCGCACATTGTCACTGTTTTTGCAGAGGTGCTCAGAATACAACAGTTTAGAAGCATACACATATAAAGATACACAACATATCCCTCCAAACTGCCAATATCCCAAACCCCTCCTTTAAAGTGCAGGCATTGTACTTCCCATTTCCAGGACTCAAGTCTGACTATATGAAAATAACCGGTTTCCCTGAATCCCTTCACTAAATATTACCCTGCTCACACTCCAACAGATCGTCAGGTCCCAAGTACCATTCGTCTCCATTCACTCCTATCTAACATGCTCATGCACGCTTGCTGGAAGTCATACTGTATATAAAAAAATACACATACAGTAGTTTCTTTAATGAACTACTATAAATAGTGAGTAAATTTAATGGGATGTGGAATAAATTTAGTGGGAAGTTGATTTAGTAGTTGACACAAGTTAAGTGTTTATTGGCTTTTACCAACAATGTAAATACATGTAGTTGTATGTTAATTTTTTCCCCTCTATAAATGTCTTGAAAGAATACTCAATGGTTAATTGAATGTTATCACATGTAAAAAGTTCATATGAATTTTTTACTTCGGAAAAGTTCATTTGAATGTTATCCCCGTGTGAAATGTTCATTTAAATGATCCTTCGTTCCTGTGAAATGTTCATTTGAATGGTACCACCTGAGATGTTCAGCTTCTTAGTTGATTGTTAACATTTGTAAGTGTGAGATGATTATTTAAATACTATCATTTGTGAAATGTTCCTTTGAATGTTACCATTCAAAGGGCCATACAATATGTGGCAAACCTGTTCTTTATGACAGTTTACAAAATTATAATCTCAATATAACTATAAATATAGATATTACATTCCTATGCATTATATGGTGTGAGTTACTGTTTTAGGTTGCATGTGAAATTAAAAAAGTTAGTAGAGTTAGACTACTTGGGAGGACTGCAGCTTGCATCAGGTGCACGATTGTTGACTGTGACTTGCTGTGATCGTTTGGTAGTATTTGTCTAGGTGTGGTTGCAGGGGTAAAGTCTTAATTCTTGGCCCTGCCTCTTTACTACCATCTAATTCACCAGAGTCCTAGCCCTTAGAATCTTTTCATACATATATTTGAAATTGCATGGAACCCACCTCCGTCACTTCCTTGGTCAGGTTGTTTCATTTTTTAATCTTCCTAAGACTGAAAGAAGTATTTTCTGACATCATTGTGGTTTACTCACAATTAATTTTTGTATGACCCCCTTGTCCTTGGGCCTTACCCTTTAAAGTCATAATTAATATTGAATAATGTTGCAAACTTTTGTGTTTGTAGTGTATGGAACTTTTTTTATTACATTCTGTTGGAATGGAGTAAGAGAGAAGTAAGATAGAGACATAGAAGACAACTCAAATACATTATGACATTGTCTTGGCTACATATTACACTAGGCGTCATGTATGTGCAGCCTTATAAACTCGTCATACAGATTATGAGAATGCTCACCATGAATTGTTTTAAACATAAAATACCGAAATATGTATGGGTTACTCATTGAACCTAGTATTTAGTAGGATTACCCTTCCTCTTGATGCATGCCTTACATCTTCAAGGCACTGATAATGCTAAAGTATGGAGGATAAAAGAGTCAGTATTTTCCCACACCTGCTTAATGGCACTCAAGGGTTTGGGGATAATGGACACAAGGCTTACACTTAATAAGGTTCCAAATGTTCTCTGACAGATTTAAGTGCAATGAGTTACTTGGCCATTCATTAAGGATTGAAATTTCACAATCAGTTAGCCAGTCATTTATGTCTGGAAGTATGGCATGGGCCAACTTCTTGCCCTAGCACTTCTCAGAACTGCCAGAAAATAGTCTGTTAAGGCATATTTATGAATGTGCATATTTATGATGCCCAGTGTACATGTATACTGTATTATATCTCACATAACAGGATAATGCTGTTTCTTAGACTAAGAAACATACAGGATTATCTTAGACTAAGAACACATCCCTCCTTTTCCCACTGAAAAGGGGGGGGAGGCTGGTGAAAAGGTTGTACTATTCGGAACAACCCAAAACTACTCAGAATACCATAGATGATTTCTAGAAACTCATGCAAGTTCTAAGTATCTGAAGTAACATTATAAATGTTAAATATTTAACTGATTTGCGCAAGAGTTGAGAGAATTACAAAAAACAAAACAAAAAAAAAAAAGGCAAGACCACTTTGAGAAACTAGTGAATGTCAAGTTTCTTGAACACTTTTAGCAGTAAAAATGACACCATCTATAACATCTCGTGTGTTTTTTTTTCCCTTGGGGCAATTCCTGGAGAAGGTGAAGGGTTCTTGTTACATGGAGTCAGAGCTTTCCTTCCTGCTGAAGGCCTCCACCCCTCTTTTCATGTACATAGGGGACATTTTTTCCCATTTGTCAAGGTGTGCCCCAGTTTATAGTTTATGACATAATGTGGATTGTGAAACCTGGACTTTGACTTATGTTGCTACTGCTAATGTTGAAATACATGTTGGTATTGCCATTGTAGTTTATGTTGTAAATACTACCATTACAAATATTGCCACTGCTAATTCCAGCATCACTGATGCCACTGATTCTACCACTGTTACTGATGCCTCTGTCACTGGTGCTGTTTGTGATAATCTCTGCTCTGACTGTGCAGAACTGATGACATCCTGGCTCTCAAGGAACTTTGCCAACCAATTAATAAAAATGATCTTTTCGACCACAACGATCACACACCAAGGCCTAGACAGGAGTTATAATTGGGTTCTTGAGAGCTTACAGGATCCCCAACCTGGCCTTCCTCAAAGTGGAGTGCTTTATATCCACTATTCATCTCCAGTTGTCTTCTCACCTTATCAATGATTGGAGGAGTAGAACACCACTCATGGGCATGGCAACTTCAGATAGCCACACTAAAAGGTACATAGTCCTCTGTGGGGATGTATATTCCTCATGCTTTATATTTGATTGGGAAAGCATCCAGTGAACAAAACATTCCCAATAGAATGCGCTAGTGTTGCACAAGCGTTTTTATTACAATCTGTTCTACTGCTTGAAAGATATTGGTTTTAAGCAGATGTGAACAAGTGAATAGCATCAGGTCGAAGCAAAGTGACATTGTAGTACTGTACATCATCACATGATCACTAAATTCAGTTGAGAGAGATGAGGTGTCTTTGAAAATTTATTATAAAAGGATCACACAAAAAGTCCCAGGATTGGAAATGATTCTAGCAAAATGAAGAAAAGAAGTAATTGATAAAACTGATGTATCAAATCTAGTCTAGTTAAGACTTTGCAAGAATTATGAAAATTAAATTTTTACTTTATCATACAAGAAACTTGACCTAGGCATTGGAGATGGTAGACAGATAATGATTCTGGAACTGAAATTAAACAGGAAGCGGCAAATTCCTGAGTGGCTCTCTTCTCTAAATATATGATAAGTGTTACAGTGAAATGTTCCTACTTCTACATATTTTAGATTCTGCTATGCCACTCATCAACCACCACTTACAGAATTTGTTTAGAAAAAGGATGAGGGAGCAAGTAACATTAATTCAAAATTCTCAAACCCACAACACCACGAAACACTCGTTTTTCAGTATCATTAGTTCATGCATTTATCTGTTGTATTTTTTGAACACTTTTAGAGGAAAAGGTAAAGAAGAAACCACTTGGATGAGTATCACACTTTGAGAAATTTGAACTGTTCTGTGTATAATTTCTTTTGAGTTTTCAATGGTTATAATATATACACATCTCAGGTCACCTTCCAGCATCCTTCCTCCACATTATTTGTAAATAAATATTTCTTGTTCTGTATCCTTTCAACATGAATATATTTCTTAGTTTAGAGTTATGACCTCTTGTTCTCCTTGTTGATGGTGTTAAAGAAATCTTCCCGTCTTACGTATGTGGTTATCATATTTCCTACAATTACTCTGAACAGCAAATGAGGGCGTTTTCAATGTTTTCAGTCTCATTTCTTAGCATGTCTGTCTTAGCACAATGAGGTGTATGGTTCCTATGGGTTTAGGACTTTCCCTTGAAAATAAATGTACAGTGGACCCCGGTTAACGATATTTTTTCATTCCAGAAGTATGTTCAGGTGCCAGTACTGACCGAATTTGTTCCCATAAGGAATATTGTGAAGTAGATTAGTCCATTTCAGACCCCCAAACATACACGTACAAATGCACTTACATAAATACACTTACATAATTGGTCGCATTGGGAGGTGATCGTTATGCGGGGGTCCACTGTACACTAATCTTAGCTCTGGGAGCCTTTTGTA